CCATCTTGTGTTGCGAAAATAATCAGCTTTTAATTATCTAAAGGAAAGGGGTTTGTAAAAGCCCTTCAAAGCCCAGTGTCTTTGAGTCATGTTGCAAAAGAAAGGCAACGTGAGCCTGGCGGTTTGTGTGTTCACAGCAAGCTGTTCCTTTAAGCCACATATTACACCCTCCACCAGCATTTAGCCATGAACGAAAATGCAGCTGAGTGATTCCTGGGCTGTTCTGAAAGCAAAGAGGGATTAATTTCAGCACAAACTGAATGCCTTCCTCCCAGTTCCTTTCATCCCCACGGAGATAAATTGGGGATACTCTCAGCATGAGGGCAACGCAGTTGGAAAGCCAACTGTTCTGCAGCAAGATTTCAGAAAATCTCGTGGATTTGGTGCAGAGTACATCAGTGAAAGTAGTCAACTGCCTCCCAAAGGGTAAACCCCAACCCAGATTAGAGGGATGCTGCTTGCAGTTTGATTTGCTGCTTTCTGTCTCGCTGTACTGCTTTGGGGATTTTATAGAGACTAATGAATCAAGAACTCAACTTACCATCCTTAAGACTTCCTTCTCACTGTGATGCCCCTATGAAACAATAACAGTAAAGGCCTGTGAGAGATCTCTTGATGTCTCATCCATAGTGCCTTCAATTTACAGAGTCACTAAATAAGATACTTGCTAATAGATGTTTTTTGTGTCTCTTTCTTTAAGCTGTTTCCTTCTCCTTCATATTTCCTACCCAAAGCATCTATAAGACAAACTTTTGCATTTGTGTAGCACCTAGCAGTACAGAGGGGCTCTGGGAGAGCAGTATATGCTGTCATGGGACCCTGTCCCTCTCCTGTGTCCCAGCATGAGTGTTCCAGTGGGTTGTGTTGTTGAATTAGTATAGAGGGCTATTTTTTGTCCTAAAAATTCCACCTCTACCTGCATGCCTCAGATATGACCCCCATGGGTGTCATATCTGTAATCTAAGTAACAGATGAACATTTAAGGGGTAATTGCTACCTACTTCTTACAGATGAGCAAATCTTGTCACCCAAACCAGGCAGATAGTTCAGATAGTGACAGATCCAGCATCTCTAGTTGCTAGGTCATGTGTGTTTGACTAGGTCACACTTTCTATTAGAGTGGCCGTAAAGGCTTGAGTACAATTTCTTGGGGGGACTGCTCACATGGGAAATCCTGAATAACGGAATGTTTTCCAAATTCTCTGCACATGAGATGTGAGGAAGTTGAAAAAACTAAAGAAATAAAACTTTCCTACTAGCATCTTAAAAAGCCTGGCAATGGGTAAACCTTATAACAGGCCTGGAAAAATACCATAGAATCATAGACCAGCTGGAGCTGGGAGGTACCCGCAGGGATCAAGTCCAACCCCTAGATCCACATAGAACAGCTCCAAATTGAGATCATTGTCCAAGCACTTCTCGGACTCTGACAGGCTTGGTGCCATGACACCTTCCCTGGGGAGCCTGCTCCATGCCCAACCACCCCCTCACTGGAGAACCTTTTCCTAATACCCAGCCTCAACCTCCCCCCTTTCTTGAGGCTCCAAGAAGGCGGCACATCACTTCTTCTCGAGGTCTGGGGGGTGGGAAAGAAGGGCATACACAACCATCAGCCATCAAAAGCTCATTGCTGGGCTGATGTGCTCCTTTAGGGTGTCCACTCTCATGTCCAAGTTAATGGTGGGGGCAGAGGCTGTGATGCATACAGGGAGCTGGCTTTGTGCTCCTGCAATTCTGTTGCCCTGACTAGGACATCAGGAAGCCTCTGTGATGGCCACTGCGATGGTGGGATGCTTCTACCCCAAAGGGCAAACTTCGGAAAGTGTTTGCAGCCTGCCTTGCCTCATTTTCCTCTTTGTGAGATAAGAGGAGTGATTCTGAGCTACCATATGGCTGCGGCGGTATCTGGAAGAACAGATAACTGCACAGAGTGTTGTGAAGGGCAAAGCTCCTTTTATTTATTGATACTGATTGTACCAGTCAGTACACAGCTGTGTTCAACTGTGAAAGTCTTCCTACCTCTAGAGAGGCCCATTACTAAATCCTTGTCCACCATTCTGAGGACAAGAGGACCCTGGGGGTTAGGCAGTATCTCTCCCTGGTGGAGCTGTGTGCCGTCCACCTCTGTTAGCAGCTCATTGACATACTGCACACTGCTGCAGGCCTTACTGCAAGCCTGAGACTCGGGGAGAGCAGTGATGCGTTCAGCTGTCACGCTGGGACTCAGAGCCTTTACAAGTCAGGTCATCTCTTGATCTTGAAAAGAGAAAAGTAACGAACCTCTTGAAGGAAGGTTGCTGTTTGTCCTGTTGCACTGCACGTTGTTTGGACACCAGTTAGAGGAGGCTGGAGTGAAAGCATAAACCTGTTGAATGAATAAATCGGCTTAGAGAGCTTTGTAGCGATTTATTCCGCTCTTCGGTCCTTTGGGCTTGTGTGCAGCTCATAAACGGGCTTATTATTCTATCATGATTCATAGCTTTGTGGCAGGAGCAGTGGGGATATGTGCCACCAGGGAAGAGAGGGTGGCTGCAGACGGAGCATTTCAAGTGGAGATCAGGCAGAGGTCACTCTGGAATGCGGGAGGAGAGGTGGAAGCAGGGCTGTCCCCTTAGCCAGCAAGCAAACAGCAGGGCTGATGGATGGCTGCAGACACGATGCAGCCAGTGCAGGAGGTGACCCTTCCCGATCAAGGCTTAATGTTGTCACTGCTTTTTGGCATTCATTCTGCAGAATTTAGAGATCTCCTAGTGGTGGGAAAATGCTTTATAAATCTCCTACCTGATAGGAAGCTTTGTGATGGTTACATATAGGCCATCTTGAGGGAGGCTTCAGTTCTCCCTTCCCCACCCTAGGGCTTCTCTATTCTACTTTGAACTTTCTACGAGCAATTTCAGCCTTTTCCACATCAGTGGCAGAGTTTCTTTCTGGGATATTTTGCCCTAGAATACACAGAGGCCTCTTATAAGCCCTTCCTGTTCCCTTAGCACATATGACACATTGTCCTACTGGCAGTGCAGCACAGCTGGTTTATGCATATTGGGGGGCCCTCTGTCACTGGAGATTAATGCTGCAAACAGCAATGGCAGGCAGCCTGAAATGGAGCTTCAAGATGTCCCAGCCCATCATTGGTGTGTCTGATCTAATCTGTCAGTCAGTCTCCTTGGCAAGCGAGGAACAGCCCAAGCCAGGCTGCCCAGCCAGATGCTGAGGTATGTTTGGTGTTTCAGAGCTGTTGAGGAATAAAGGAGAAGCTTTGGCCTTGAGCACCTCTCTTTGTTTTTGCAGCACGAGGCTGAGCTTCGTCTGAAGGGGACAGTGTGCAGTTCTGCATGCAGAGATAGAGCAGATGTGCTGCTCAGTACATAGGTCAGAGGAGTTCAGTGCGTGTTGCCCATATGCAGTCCCTATGCTCAGTCATTCCCTTTCTTTTCATAGAGACCTCCTCAGCAAAGGCTTTGTGGCAGAGCCTGACAGCTGCTGGGGCAGCTGTGGATGTTCTCTCTACTGTGACCTTAGGAGGCCTCCTCCTGCACACTTCTCTCTGCCACTGCAGTGAGACTCCGGTCATCTGTGGGCGAATGCAGGAGCTGCTCTGAGAGGATGTATCCACAGTGACAGGGGACACAGGAAAGTGATAGAACACATGTTCTCATAGTGCTCACAGAGACACCATCCTCTGATTCTTCCATATGTTTTCCATGCAAGACTTAGGCTCTGGAAGTGCATTCATCTTGTACTGAACGATGAGGTGCAGATTGTTCTCTGCATGTGTACATTGCAGAAGTTTAGGCTGATCCTGTCCATGCTGAGGAATACAAATAAGCTGTGAGCAGAGCTGTGTGTGCTGGTGATGGGGTCACAGTCGATCAGCACACAGTGACTGCACCGGGGGAGAACAAGAGCTGGGGCCCTTATATGGCCAACCACCTTCTGGCCAGGCCCTCTCTCACTGGTTCATAAAGGAGTTTGGGATGGCTGTCCTCCTGTACTCTCTTGGGTGTTTAAGGAAATGGAGGTGAATGAAGGACTCCATAGATAGGAGCCCTTTTTGGTATGTGCTAAGAGTCAAATGGTTCACTGTGACCCCGTGGCTCTTGGTTGCAGTTCCTGGTGCAGTGCGATGGCTGACAGATACAACAGGCAGTAGTGTGAGTACTTTAGAGATGCAGGTGAGTTTGTGCCTTGTTTGAGTTAGCTGTGTGAGAGCAGCTGTACTGTGTGAGATAAGTGTATATCTGGCCAAGTATTCTTTCTCCCTCAGTGATAAATGGTGGATGCCTAAGGAAGAAGGCAGATGCAAGGCAAGCATGTTGTGGCACCTCCTTCGTGTGTGCTCTCCACCTCCAAAGGTTTTTTACTTCCTTAGTCAAGAGTAATTTCATTATATTCCATAGCTTTGGAGTTTCCTTCCTTGAATTTGTGCAGTCACTTCTTTCGCTTAGGAGAATTGATAGCATCCAGCACCCTGAAGCAAGGAGTTCCACTGCTCTCGTCTCGCTGGTGTCTAAATCACAAGGTTTCACTTTTAAAGCAAACCCAGTAAATCAAAGAGCTGGGGGTCACTGGGCAGCTTCTACTGATGCATCAGAAAACTGGGTTTCAATGGAAGTGTGAGTCAGCACGATATTGCCTGTAGCTTAGAAATGTTTTCAGTACTCCTGGCACAAATATTTCTTTTAAAAAGGCTCCAGTTTGCATCTGCCCATGCTTTAGGACTTGGAGAGTGTGCTGAGGCTGGATCTGCAGATGGGCATTTCTGCAAAAGCCCGGGAACAGTAAGGCTAAGAAAGAGAACTGGTTTCTTTTTCGCCTTCACACGGGGCTAAAGTTACATGCAGTAGTGTGATCATAGATGCTCTCTACTTATGCCAGGTGTAGGTAGCCTTCACCACCTGTGTAGTGTTACAGCAGCATCAGTGCAGAAACAGACACTGGTTATATGTTTGACAGGCTGTGTCACCATGTTTAATGGTGTTTTTTTTTTTTTTTTGCTGAAGGGAACTCTGAGTGGGAGAGCCTTGCAATGGGACAACAGTCAAGAGAACACCTGAACAGCAGAGCACTTTGGTAGCAGTGAGAAAAGTCAATATGGGTTCTGATAGCACAGCAGCACTCAGCAGGCTCATCGCTTTCTCTGACCTACAGTGCTGACATCCAAACTGAAAGGACTACGTTTAAGTGTCAGAGAGGTAGGAGAAACGTAGGATGAGGTGTCTTATGCATCGGGTGATTCTTGGAGTGCATTAGAGAGGCAAGAACTGACTCAAATTCTCCTGTGTTGGTCACATGCACAAGCCATGAGACTGTACTTTCAGAAATAGTTGGGAGCAAGCGGCCTCTGTCAGAGAGACGAGTCCAATTCAGGGTGCACACAGATTGATGCCATTTTGTCAGAGCTGCACCTGCTCGTGCCAGCTCGGAGGGTGGCCGAGGGCCAGACAGCACTTTGTTAATCAAATAGGAGATATGGAAGTGAGTTTGATTAAAGCTGAGAGACAAGATGTGAGGGAACGGTGGGAGGAACCACTCTGAGCCAGTGGAAAAGAGATCTGCTGGAAAAAAATTATGGGAAAGGATTTCTGCTGTTTGAATGGCTGAAAGTAATAAGAAAAGAAAAGCTCAGAGAAGGCTGCAGGTCTTTGGGAGATGTGATGGTTAGGGACAGCAGCAGGAGAACAGCCAAATCTTCTTGTCGTAACATTTCAGACCTGCTATGGGCAAGCATCGCTGCAACTTTTGTTAAGCATGATAATGCTAAATCCCAAAGACTTTGCCCAGCAGCTTAGGGGGGCAGAGAATAAATGAGGTCTGATTCTGGGATGTGCAGGCTGCTGTCTCTTGTGTGCCGAAGATCCTCCTGAATCAAGAGTTGGGGATTTGGCCCTATGCTGTGCAGTGCTCTCTGTGAACAGCTTATGCTGGATTATCACCATGCTCAGGGCTCTGTTCCCAGGGGATCCTGCAGGGAGCTGGCAGCCAGAAGACTCAAAGGGGACAGGGACCTCGTGTGGGTGGTGGGGCCAGAGCTGACTGGGTGGCAGTACAGCTTGTCAGGCTCTGTGATCAGTGAGTCTCTGAACCCAAGGATGTGCTGCAGGAATCCTGCCTTACGCCCTTTCAGGACATGGGGAGAGATGGAGCTGCTGTGGTTTCTGGCAGCTGCCTTCCCGCAGCTCCAGCACTGCACATGCAGTTTATGTGATGTGAGCAGTGGAGCTGGTGGAGCCAGCATAGCCTGGTGGGCTTTGCTGCAGTCTTCTAAAGGGAAAATGTTTTTTTCTTTAAGGGACTCTGCTGTGGCATCAGCCCTCAAAACAGTTTTGCATGTCTTTTTAGTGAGACATATTCCCTCTGCTTGCTGAGATGGTTATAAGATGGTAAATGAGCAGTAGGGAAGGGAAGATACTCTGAATGGACTGAGAGAACAGCCACCTAACCTTTCTCTTCTTCTCAGGATGTGCATCGTTAAAGCCATTAGACTTAGACAAGGGAAAATATAGTCAGGGAGGGGGAACACAAACTGCATCAGAGGTTTGGGCAAACCATTTGAGACCCAATATGATTGAGTCACACTGAAGGGAGGTAAGATTCTGTCACGCGTGCCCGCTGTGGTGAGTATGAACAAACCCAGAACAGCTGGCTGTAGCATATGGAGCATCCAGAAGGGAACAAAGCTGAAATAATTCCCTTTCCTCTGCTCTTTGCTTATCCTGGCCCTGATTCAGGAGAGCATTGGGGATCATTCTCAACTTTAGGTCTGCACAGATTTCCATGATATTGAGTTTCAGTTTTACAATTGGCTTAATGAATTTTCTGTACAGATGCTTGTGCCTGAGTACCGTTGGGGTACAGCATCCCTTAATCACAGAGCCCGGAAAGGCTTTGGCTCTGCAGTGAGCATTGTCACTTCTGTGAAGCTCAGAAAGAATTCCAACCTGCAGGTGTTCACCTTGGTTCTGGGCAGGAGCTGGTCTGCAGATAGATCTTTATGAAGAAAGCAGGAAGAAATAAGAGACGGATCAATCTTGTCACTCACAGCTGGCGACTGGGCCACTTCTGGGCTGGTGGTATTTTTACTTTCCCTTAGAGCTGATCAGGTTTTAGGCTTTGAAAGGAAGCAGCTTCCCTCATCTGCATGCTCTGCTCATGGAAATGGCTGCTCAGGAAACTCAAAGGTGGCAGGTTTGCCTGAGCCTTCAGAATCAGGTAGAAATTATTTACTCTTTCATACTTATTTCCCATCACCATGAGAAGGTTTAGGGGCTGAAGGACACAAGTGGTAATGGAGTCCCATTGCCAGCACTGCTGTAGCAGCGTGGTGACAACGGAAAGTGGCATAAGCAACATATATACATGCGTGTCTGTGTATAAAGAGGTGAACGTGGCATAAGTGATTTCAGTCATCATTTCTGGCTTCAATACCTAGGAGGCTGGTTATCAGATGCTCTTAGCCAGCGATGCAGTGGTGGAATCAGGTGCTGTCTGTCCAAAACCAGTATAAAGAACAGAATAATTCACAGGAAAGCTGCTTGCTTCTTGTAAAAACTATTCTCTGTGTGTGCATGTAAGTGTGTGTATGGGTTTTGCACTTGCCTCAGCATTTTTAGGTGGGCTGTGAAGCAAATTTCCTAAGCATTTGGCACCTCCTGCTATGCAAAGGCTGGCCTGAACATTTGTTAGGTTAGTGAATTCATCTTTGTGGTACCCTTTCAGCAAATGCCTCTTTTTAGATAAAAAGGTTTATTTGTGATTTGCAGAACTCTTTCAATCTATTGGCTCCTCTGATATCCTAAACCTATTAGTTCACCATCCATCCACAAAATTTTCCAGGAGAAAGCAGGCGAGACAAGAACTGAATTTCTAATAGAAGAAACAAAACAAAGAAAAACCACCAACAACAAGCAGGAGCCAAAATGAAATCAGCAAAGCAAAATCCTGCCCAAAGGTCTCGGGTTCCATTTTGAACTCAATAAGGAAGGGTATAAAAATACAGCTGTGCTTCTCCCTCCTCCCTGCACCTCCCTTTTAAGCGGAGCATACCTAATCACTGTCAGGCTCCCAGTGGCTGTACTGGGGCTGTACCCTTTAAGCAGCTTGTGAGCCCACAGGCAGAACTCACTGGAGAAGCAGCCTGAAAGCTGGAGCAGCTGTATTGCATGGTCATTTATAGCTGGTAAGTGCTGCTGCTTGGGACCCTGTGACTGTGGCCCCTAGGTCTCTTTGTGCTGTTGTTCAAAAGGCCAAAAGATGGGAGAAGAAACAGAGAACTAGGAACAGGAAAGATTTTTTCAGCAAACCTCAGCACTGGCATTACAACATCTTTCTCAGCTCATAGGCAGAAGCAAAGCAAAACGTGCTATTCTCAAAGGTACATTTCAGCTCCATTCAAATAGTCATTCTACACCAGGTTCTTTTAATATGGTCTCCATAAGTCTTTAACATTAACATTAAAAAGATAACGAGAACAGGCAAACAGACAAATCACAATGCCTAGCGCCCTGCTAAAACATGGGAGCAGCCCTCCTGCAAGAGTTTGACTTTCCTCACTGCTGGTCATTTACATTTTCATTTATGAAAAGGAGGAAAAATGAGCTGCCACCGCAGCACCTAAGCATAATGGAAAGGAAAAGCCTTGGTGCATTCCACACGAGGCTGTGCTGTCAGGCTGTGCAAGCAGGTCATAATGTGATTCCTTTCGTTCCGGCCCTAAGCCTGCCTTCCAGTTTGATCACAGAGCTCAGAAATATTTTTTACGTTTGATAATATCCCTGTTCTGCTCGACCACAACTTTCTGCTTTGTATTATTTTCTTTTTGCAGTGTTTTTGGTGATAGAGCAACTCTATCCCTGCCAGTGCTGCTTGCATTGTTTCTATTAATAATTACCTTCATCACAGTAGTTATTAGAGGCCCCAACTGCTGCAGACTCGATGCATGTAAGAGGCAGTCTCTGCCTGAGGAGCTTAAGGTCTAAATAGGCAAGGCAGATAGTGGAAGTGTTATCAGTCTTATTTTTACAGAGAGCTTAAATGACCTGCCGAAGGTCACACAGAGAGTCTGTGGTGAAATCATGACTGGAATACAGATCTTCTATGTTTTATTCAAGCATCTAACCCAGGTTCCTGGCTAAGGAGGACATTTGTGAGGAGGCTGCCTGTGCACACGTGGGTCTGGGGGCAGTTCTGGGCCGCATACTGGATTTGCATGTGCCCTCCTGTTCGAAGCACGTCTGTGAGGAGCTTCAGGTGCTGTAGCAAATGCATGGGTGGCAGCAGCAGCTACACGTGCACGAGGCGCATGCTCACCTGGGGTGCGTGTCTCAGTGCAGTTCAAGGACATAGCTCTCAACAAGGTGGCAGGAACTGCTGGTGTTCTTATGGAAGTGTTCACTATTCCTTGACTGTGCTACAGTAAGATCATCTAGATCATCCAACTCCCGACCTATACCCTCCGTGCCCACCAACCATGTCCCTCAGTGCCACATCTACATGTTTCTTGAATACCTCCAGGGCTGGTGACTGCAGGGTAATGCTTGGACATTCAGGAGATGGTGGTTGGGCTGCTGTTGGCTTGATGAAGAGTGCAGTCCCATGATGGCTGTGCCTAGCTGTGTGGGTCTTGATGCTCAGAAGCAGGTAAGCTAAGAACCTCAAACTGTACAAAAGCCAACATTTCAAAGTGTCGTTACAAAATACACATTTAGAATAATAAGAAAAAGATTGTGATGTGGTATCCACCAGGAGAAGTAACTGTCCTACAGAGCTCCCTTCTGTCAGAATGACCCTTGAGAAAGATGGAAATCCTTCCTCTAAGACCCTTTTGCAAGGTGAGGGAGATTGCATGGGCTGCATCTCTGCTATATCCGAGGGCAAGGAAATGGCTTCTCTTGTGCAGGGACAACCTGTGCTGTGTAGTGGCACTCTACCTTCGTGTTTGGCTGTGGGAATGCCTTACATTAGTTTTCATCACCATTTCCTGGAATCAAGGTACTGATCTTCGAGAATTAGCACAACCACCTTATTAGCTGATTGTTTTAGAGGCCATTTTCAAGAACTGCTCTTTTCCTTAACGTTTCCAGTCTGCTTTTCCGTTGCTTGCAAGTACAAAATTCCATTTCCCTAAGAGTCAATTTATGTCTAAACTATAATACTTATTAGCCATTTCAATGCATTCCGATGTGTCCTTGTTTTTTAGAATTATTTCATAAAACACTTTGCACGTATAATTGAAATTGACTTTAACTTGAAACTCAGAGTCAGTATTTCTGCAGTCTTTCTAAGTTTGTTTCTCAAGGAAAATATTATTCCTATGTCTGTGAAAGGAAGGAATGTGATGTATGCCACAAGTTAGAAGGATTGAGACTCAGAATTCAAACAACTTTGGCCAGTTTTGACTGTAGGACTGCTGAATTCTGCACTCAAAGTCCACGTTATCGAGTCTCTCTGTTTATGCTGCAGTCAGGGTCCAGCTCCACAAAGCTTTTTGACAAATTGTAGCCTTTGAGTAATTGTCATGGTTTCCTGAGAAGTCAACAGTGTTGTTTTTTTTTCAGTGGCTGGATTGGATTAAGGCAGTTTAGTTAATTGCAATGTGAAGGGAGACATTTGAGAGCTAATGCATACTGCTGAATGCAATTCCTTTTCTTCTTCTTCTTTTTTTTTTTTTTTTTCTGGACACAATGTTTTCTTAGCTTAAAGTTGCATTTATAGCCAAATAATTTGTCTTCAGCTCCCCTTTGTAACTTACCTTTCAATTAATGTCTTTTGCCATTGTTTTAATTTTAAAGCTCTGCCATTAAAAAGCTTTTAGCACACTGTGGCAGGCCCATAAGTGGCCTGGAGTTCTGAAAGTGCCTCCTGGTGCTGAAAGAACTTAAAAATTGCTGCAGAACGACCCCGTCCTCTTTTGCTGCACCAAACTCACACCAGAACTCTAGGAACATTAAAAAAATCTTTTCAAATGTAGTTTATAGAAATGCCCTGTGGGAATGCTGGAAAGATTAGGCCAAAAGATTTAAAATTCAGGAATGCAGCCTTCTTGATGAAGGGATGGTGCATCCAGAAGCATACTTGCCATATGAGTTATTCTTGTATTCCATTAGCCTAGGGAAATATAACTCCCCATACAAATGCTTATAAACATTACCAATTACAAGTGGAGACACTTTGCCAATATTTAAATAATTTCATTACAGTAAATCTTTAACTTTTGAAAATACTCCGAATGAAATTTTCAGTGCTGCTTTCCAAGTAATGAAGAAGACAATGGGCTGCTTCCTTTTCAACGTTGTAGCTGAAAATGATTATTGAATATTTTGATATTTCCAAAATTTGTAGCATCGGAGACAGCAAATAAAATTGTCCTTCTCCAGAACGTCTTTGTTTCCTGTACTGAAAAAGAAGTTAATATATTTTTGTCAATAAACAAAGATTTTGCCTTATGAAGATGCAGCGTTTTAGCTATGGGTTAATCTCGTAGAAGCAGCGTTATTTAATTTGCCACTGATTCAAGAGATCTGTGCAGACAGCTCTGAGTAGTGCTGTTCTGTGCCGCTGTGGTTTCACAGGAGCCACTTTGTTACTTTCTGCATTTCCATCCAATAACTGTTTTCTGAAACGTTGTTCTTCGAAGCCGTTCTGTAGCAGTCCTCTAGTGCCTGTTTGCATGCTGCCTTGCTCATGGCAGACTGTCAGGTCCCACTGAGAAACATTTTCTGCAAACCCTGTTGTGAGTTTGCTTACAATTATAGCTCCCTTCAATGCAAAATCATTTATCCAGTCATCTTGGAAAATACTGAATCTCCCGCAGTTGTACCTCCAGCTATTGCTAAGAAGCTGCCATTGACACTGGGGTTGTTACCAGAGCAGGAGAACACAAGGAAATAGCTGCTGGTGTTGGGTTTGATTTCAGATCTCATCCTGGTTAGTGGGTCTGCAACCCACAGACACTGGGACTTGCACAGACAGAAACTAGGCCATGATAAGTATAGGGAGGCATCATCTGCACAGATCAGCAGGCTCAGAAAATCCAGTATTCTGGGTGAGCTTCTCTTGTACAAGTGTCTGTAGCCTGTCCGCTTGTCTTTTGGATCCTAGTGGCAGTGAGACCCTTTCCATCTAAAATTTCTAAAGGCCATTAGGGTCCGTTGCTCTTGAAGATGCTACAGAAGTGTGAAGTGCTGCTGCTTGAAATCACTTACCAACACTCCACCTCAAATAAGAAGTCATTCTGGGGAGGTGAAGCAGTCTTTCTGCAGCTGCCCGGAGTCACTGCAGGCTGCCTCAGGGAAGTGAGTATCTGAAGAGCCTTTCTCAGCCATTTCCAGTCCTCCAGCTCTCACTCAGTGATATCCTCCATTCTCAAGCTGTCACCTCACTGCAGGCCTGGAGAGAGAGCACTTGCTTTCTCTGAAGGAAACCTTCCAGCTCCTCTCTCCCCCAGTCCCAGCCCAGGTGAGCTCCAAAGAGCTGCAGGGCAATGGGGCTACAAAACAAGAACAGAGCTCTGGGGTGAAGTCACACCAAACTGCCCTCCCTGCTTTCCTTTCCAGCCTGTGGGCTGCTGTGGGATTAGCACAAGATCAAGAAAATGTTTCTCCCTTTCTCATCAGACATGCATGGATAAATTTTTGTTACAAGTTTGGATTTGTTCGGTTTGAACTCTTGACTAACCCCCCACTTTTTTTTCCCCATATTTACTTTGATTCAACCTTTTCTTTACTGTAGTTATAAACGGATGAAAAAAGGCTGTTTTCAAGAAGCAGGGATGCTGAGCTACCCGCTGCTTTGGAATTAGTTGGAGGGAGTGAAAGTATGCCTAGTACTGCGTGTGCTTCTGCTGTATTGGAAAATGGATCAAACATGCACCAGGGCTGATTTCAAAGTGCTTGCAATGCAGGCAAAACTTCTATATGCCCATATGTGCCATCATTAATACCAAACAAATCCAACGGTAGGCAAAGAACTTTAGGAATCCCCCACAGGAAGTGGTTTATACCCTGGTTTTTGGAGTCCACAGCAAACAGGGACTACTGGTAAAATTCAGAATTGCTTATCACAAAGTCAAACAGCTCAAACAATACTCTGGGGCAGAATCACTCACTCCAACAAACACGAGTACGAAATGCCCAGGCATATACTGGTACTTCAGCTGCCACAAGGCAGACTCCCGTGGGCTTTGCTTGTCTGTTGTGGAGGTGCTGCAAATGTGCAGCATCCCCTGAGTTCTGAGGCTCCAGCAGGAGGTCCCTGGTGAGCAGACAGAAGAGGACAAGGATGTTTGAAACCTTTTCCACCCGGCCTTGCCTAAGGCACTGTTTCTGAAGCATGTAGGTGTCAGTTGGATTTCTGTGTTGTTGGCAGCGTTTAAAATGGAGGCCCATGCCCAGAGCAGCTGCTGCTTCTGCAAGTCAGGAGTCAGGAAGGGCACGATTCATCGCCAAAGCGATATTGTGCCTGGCTCTGCTCCCTCGCACCCACAAGTATGAAAAGTGAACCAAACTCTTCTCGCAGCAGAAGGAGGTTGCACAGCTGAGACCTCCCCTGAATTCTCCCCTGGTTGCAATGAAAAGCAGACGTGCAAACCCCTCCCAGAGCAGGGGGCTGCAGTGGGCACCTACTGGAATGTTAAGAGGGAAAGAGAGGACGGTTTTCTTGCTGATGGAATGCTGCTTTGCTCAGGGGACCATATTATTGCTGTTATTTATTATTTATGCTCTGCCGAAGGTGTGCAGGGTACTTTATAGGCACAGTTTGAAAAAGAGCAGTGTCCGGTCCCACTGGATGCTGGGCTGCTGCTGGCAGATGCAGAGGGGCAGGCTGGAGGGGAAGGGCAGGCTGAAGAGGCCACTTCTCCCTGCACCACACTGCAGAGGTCTCTTAGTGGTGCCAGGGTGCTCTCTGGGCACAAGGTGGGCTTGGCTGGGGAGCTTGGGGTGGCTTTGTCACCACTTTGCACTGTTGTTGGCTGGTGGTGTTTGCAAGGGCATGTACCCTGTTTGATATGCATTCGGAGTCTGGCAGCAGTGGGAATGAGTGAACAATAAAAGTGCTGCTGTCACAGCCCAGTTTTTTGTTTTTTGTTGTTTTTTTTTTTTTTTTTTTTACAGATTCTCAGCCATCTGCTGCCTCACCAGCTGCTCTCGGTGCAGGATGAAACTTATCTCAATTCAGGAACCTGGGCCTCAGGCAGAGGGGTGAAAGGAAATCGCTGACCTCACAAGCGCTGTCTGCAGGATGCACGCCCAGACTGGGTAAAAGCTCTAGAGGGATGGGGAGTGAAAAGGGGGAATGGGTGAAAGAAATGAAGATAAAACTCACAGGCAGCCTCTTGTTGATCCCTTGGAAAATGTTGACCGAAGAGAAGTGCTGACCTGGGGCAGTGTGAGGGGGCCTGGGTAGGCCCCAGGGCTGGCTCAGATGGAGGTCTGCCACCTCCTTTAGCCATCATTAGGTTGACAGAAGAGAAGACATTCATCCAAGGCTGCAGAGGATGTGTGAGATCCCTTGCTGTGGTGCTGCAACCATCCCCGTTTGCTTTGAGGCCATATCTACTGGGGAAGGGGAGTGGAGCTTGGTGGCAATGGAACTGGCAGTGGTGGAGGGAAAGAAGGGAAGTCTGCCTTAAAGGCAACTCAGCAGCTACCTGCAGACAGGGAATGGAGAGACAGCTGTTGGAAATGTGTGGGGTGAGAGACCCCAGGGAGTCTGACTGCCAAGGAAAGGAGCATACATTACTTGCTGTCTTTGAGGCATCTAGTTGAGCATTTCCTAATTTCATTAAGTCTGATTTTTATAATCCCCTTGGGGTTGAAGCAGCTGACTGGAACGCTCTTCACTCCTGTCCCCTGATCCCTCCAGTGCCTGTCTCCAGAAACAGCGGTGGTGCTGGACCAGGTGAGGAGGAAGCAGCAGGTTGGCCACGTGAGCCGACAGGGAGTGACCAGGTTCCATCCTTCATTTCCAGAGAGCTCCTCTGCTTTGCGTGTGCCACTTCAGACTGCTCAGAGCACCCTCCTCCTGCTTTTATGCGTTTTCCAATTAAATTTCCTCCATGAGGAGGAGAGAGGCACTCTGAATCCATTAGCATTAGTAATTATGCAAACGCTTCGGGGAGTTGACTGCCCATCATTACATATAATTAATGTTTCTGGTTATGAATGGAGGGTTTGTTACTTTTTTCTCCTTTTTGTGCTGGAATAGGGCGGGGTAGAGGTGCAAGGGGGTGATGTTACTGTATTTAATTTGCATAATCAGAAGGCCTGATTGGGTATGCATGAGGGTAGGGGCCGGGGGGAACCTTCTCCCGTGCACACTCTATTAAGCTGGTGGGAAAATTCAGGAGGGAGATGCAGAATGCAAAGCAAGGGTGAGTGCAGCACAGTGACTGCAGACAGCAAGAGGCTCAGGTTTATGCAATGCCACCATCACAGACAGGGAGGGAGGGAGCTTTGGGCTCACATGGCTATGCGCAGTGCCCTGTGCTTAGCCCATCGTTTTACTTCACTTGATTGTTTGAAATGACCTAGGGATTCTGTATCCAGATTATACTCCTGGCTTTTATTTGAGGATACTCACTGAAGCCACAATATGCAGATTCCAAATGTGTGTGTGCACCAGGTAGCACAGAGCTGGACTTCAGATTCTCCAGATTGCTCCACTCTCTACCTCAAATTTATCCCCAATCTTTCTCCCCCAGCTCCTGGACATAGGCAGTCTATCACTGGACTCAAGGCTTTCTTTTTTAAGTGACAGCTGTTATGCTCTCTCACTACTCCACAGAAAGCATATATAAACCATGGTTTTGCCTACTGGAGGATTTATGGAAACATACCTAGTGAAGGGACCTGCAGGAGTGGGGAGAAGGTCCTGGAGTCAACATTTAGTTATTGAGACAATGCCATGGGAGGGCAGAAAGGTTCTCAAAATAGGGAGAGATGAAGCAGTTGTCTGTGCAGTGTGGATCAGGTTGTCCAGAGATTGTCTCAGTCAAAAAAGAATGAGGGACAGCAGTTGCTCAGACAGAGTCTGATGCTTGAAGTCCCACGCTGTTCGAAGTACTGTGTCCTGTTTTATGTCTATCTTTATTTTCTGACTGATTACAATCTGCTGCTTGCTGTGCAGACGTTGGAAATTGGACGAATCTCTTGTGGTATCTCCCACTTTGGTCAGCACAAGCAGAGTGTTTCCCCAGTGATGCAGTGGAGAAAGACTTGGATCATCCCTGTTTGTCCCATGCAGTGGTTCATCAGATGTTTCTAGAGAAGGTAGGGAGAAAATTGGCTTTGTTTCCCAGCATGTTACCCCAGAGCTTGTAGAAACGTGAGTCAGATTCCCAACACTTTTCAGTAACCTTTGGAAGAAGTGGAGGACACACATAGGAAATAAACCACACAAGACAAACCAGAGGAAAAAAAAAAAAACCACACCGCTATTTCTGTGTAAATGTTTATTGATATGCATTTGTATATATGGTTTTAAAACAAAAGATCAGTAGGGAAACCTGAAGTTCATTGCATGCCTTTCAAAAAGAAAAAAATCAGCCTCTTTATAATAGGCCACTCTGAGAGGACACCAGCTTTATTCTGAAAAATGACTTCTGCGGAGGGAACTTGAGGCACAACTGGATTCTGTTTTTGTTGAGGTTTTGTTCTCTCTAACTGAAAGTTGCTTTAGAGATTTGTAGTTCTGAGGTTCATGTTGTTCATTATTTTGTAAAGTGTTTATACATTTGGTCTGCTGCTTGAGGAAACCACTGGGGAAGACTCTCTGTAAGTAGAAGCACCTGTAAAATCTCCAGTGTACACAAAACCAAAAGATCTGATTTGCTTAGACCACAAACTTTTCTGAAGGATGAGAAAGGTCTCAGTGCTGATTGGGAAGGTGAAATCCCAGAAGGCACTCACTAGAAATGGAGTGGAGGTCTTGGGGAATTATTTGACAAATAACCACAGTAAAATCATAGCGTAGCAGCACATAGTGCTTCTCTTATGTGGTAGGGAGGAAACTTTCTGCCTGTGAAATGGGAAGATGTCAATAGCTCTGCTTCTGTGATGTCCTTCCTTCAACAAACCATGCACTGGGGCACCCAGACTGCAGTGAGTAGCAGCCTGGCTGGTGGAAAGAAGATGCTGGATCCCATGGAAAGCAAGGTGAGCTCAACCTTTTAAGGGAGTCCATTGGCTCAAGCCTCATTTTGTGTTCCCCGTGATCAGAGCTTATCCCAGTGCGGTACCAGACAAAGCTGTGCTGTACCTCAGAGTGGAGGTGACTAGGTAAAGACCTTGTTATTCCCCAGAGCCAGTACTGAAGTCAGGAATGCTAAAGGAAAGGAAGACAGAAACAATTGTCAAAGCAGGAGAGAGAGTACAATGAGAATAGGGACAGCCTGCAGTCAAATAACTGCTGTTGCATACTGTGTCTCAGCACACAGGGGGATGCTGGATGTGAATGTATTCTGTAACCATTGTCCTGAAGGACCTCAACCTGCAAGAACAGGGTCCAGCACACCTACCCTTCCATAGGGTGTCAGTCTCTTGTAACAGGCTGCTCTGTGTTTGCTGAAGTTAACAGCTGATGGAGGAGCTTGAAGATGTCACTGAAAAATTCTGTGGGAAAAGGCTTAGAACAAGGTTCCCTCTGAACTGTGCTCAACAGCATCTCCGCAGGGATCACATCACTGCCATGTGTAGCCGTGGCATTTTCTGTCTTTCCCTTCCCTTTCTCTTTTTTGGGGGTGGGTTAGGATGTGTATGTGCAGCAGTGACACGTACAGAGGCACACATGGGTACACATACACACAGCGCTTGCATACACAGGCACTTGAGATTGCTAAAGGCAGAAGTTAAATCCCACATCAAAGCAGAGAGCTATTGGAGCAGCACTGTTCAAAGGCACCAGCTTCCTTCCTGGGAAAGACAGATTGTCACTTTGATTAAGAGATTTTAACAAGAGAGAAAAGAAGAGAGGGAATGAAAGAAAGGAGGAGAGAAAAGTGAGAGTTTTCATTTATACTTTTTCTCCCCTTTGGCCATCCAAATAAAGTTTTGGTTTGATGAAAAAAAGACCCCAATTTAAAATAAGTTTAATGTAACAATGAATTATTTAAGGCAGAAGAAAATACAAGCTGCTGCCTAAAAAAAAAATAGAAAAAGCTATTATTGAAATGTCAGAACAAATACCCAGCTTGATCTGCATTAATATGATAAATACTAATATATTCATTTCCCTGGTGCTTCTGGGCTTGCAGAGGTACATCTGCAGTGCCTTGCTTATGGTAATCAGGTCGCAGCTTCAAAGGGAGGCATGCAAGGTATTCTGGGTGATGTTGTGCAAGCTGCTGTTAGAGACCTTGTGGTTCATCACAGTAGAGTTGAGAACTGAGCAGGGATCTGCTGGAAGATCTCCTGATTGCTGCAGGAAAATGAAAGTCTTATCTTATTCGCTGGTGGACCACCAGTCATGGGACAATACTGGTGCCTGGATGTTGTCATTTTGCTGTAATGAAAGAGTGAGATGGAGAAAGCAATGAGCTTTGTGTCTTGTGTCTCCATATCCTAATTCCTACTGTCTCCTATAGCTGGGAATAGGTGCCATGGGTGAGCTGCAGAGCACAGCTGCAAGCCAACCAGCATCTCAGTTTCCTCTTCTAGAGTCTCACAGTAAATAATTCAGGAATGATTTAGTGATGCTGATAGTTTAAAGCTTCAAGAAACTTCATGTGGTTTTGGAGTCTAGCAATCTGGGAACTGCAAGTAGAATGTCTCCAGCAGGGACCAGTGTTGCCTTCTCCTAGGCATCATCTCTACTCACCCTGTACTTCTTATCTTTTGGATGAGAAGCAGGGAGAGGAGGGGAGAGGTGGGAAACACGTTTGAAGAGAGGAGGTATAATACAGTTACCATATGTGAACCTATCAAAGAGTCAAGGTGTTTTGCCATTGTCAGGAGATGTTTGGTTAGGTTTTTACCTTCTCGATCAAGTCTTCTTCTCGATCAGATCATCTCAGGTATACTTGGTTAATACACTGCTAATCTACTCTGCATTCCTTCCCTGGTAAAACTGGTTGTGTGCCACAATAAGCTGTTATCTCATGAGACATTGAGCTCTTCCTAACAGTGAATATCTAGATTGCAAGTTGAAGTGTGGCTTTGTAAGCTGGTCCTGCTCCTGCCTCAAGGGAGGAGTCATTGCACCCAGAGGTGTTCAGCTGATTGTGTTGCCTGGAACTTCCAGGTGGATGAAAGGAATTCATCTAAAGCCTGGATAAAGCTAGTTAGAGACCTGCAGAAGCTGTGCCTGCCAGTCTGTTGGAGTAATCTGGACTCACTTGAGAAGCTCCTCTTCTGTGTGTGTGTTCCTCTATGAAATGCTCCAGTTCCCAAGGAACGCTAATGTGCTTTTCCAGTAGATTTTACTCACAAATGCAAGAGAGTTTGAGTCCATCTGCTTCTGGCCCTCTTTCCCTCCATTGCCTAAATTCGAATGTTTAATGCTGGCTTTTGGGCACATGCGTGCTGTGCCCCAGCTACAGACCAGTGCCTCAATTAAAAGATGCATATGCTTTATTATTTATACTTTTTTTTTTTTTTTTCCTGGAGATGCTCCACAGTGTTTGCAGTTTGCTGGAAACCCCCAGCAACAGCCCCAGGCCTTGAACTTTAGAAGGCAAACTCTCCCAGTGGCCATTTTCAATCCATTCACTGGAAAAATGTGATTACTTCTTATTTATTGAAGTTAAGTATTCCTGCTTGTAGCCACCATGGCATTAAAGTAAAATGCTCGGCATTTAAGGCGATGAATGCAGAGACACAAGGCTAAATGCAGTGCATAAAATCTTTATGGCGCTGTAAAACAGACGCCGGGAATATTTTCAACTGCTGTGTTGTGAGTCAAGCTGGGTCCCCCTCTGCCAGGCAGCCTGCCCTGGGTGCCCTTGAGGCTGTGCTCACAGCGTGTTGGCCCGCAGAGAGGAAGGGACCTGGGGAACAGGAAGCTGTCTGCTTCCTGGCATGCGCTGCTCTTGCCAAGGCTGGCCTTGGCCATGCTTGGTGGCTGTTGCTGCATCAGTTCAGGTCTGGGGGGTAAACAGACGTTGCTGCTATCAGCTCTGATTGCTTCCGAGCAGCTTTCTTCAGTGTCAGCCTCAGATAAACAGAGCTCCAGAGGAAATCAGTTCAGAGTGAGTTTTGTCAGCTTCAAAAGAGATTCATTCCTAGAGTTGTCAGTCACAGGAGACTGATGGCTGAGATTGCTGAGGGAAGCAAGGCCTGTAGGCATTAAAACAGATACTGTTGCTGGAACTCAGGGTTTAAAGACAAGATTTAATCTGGGCTGTGGGTTTGTGCAAACTCACTCCCCCTTCTGCTTTCTCACATGTAAGGTCTGATTCCCACGGGCACACTCAGCTTCCTATGCTCCATGAGCCAACATTTTGTTGGCTTTCTGATCATGAGCCTGACACCAAGCACCATGCTAAGCATGAGGGTTGGGCTCCTGACCTTGTTCTCTGTGGTGTCATGGCCAGGCTGTGTCCTCACCCGTGAATGTATGCAGGAAAGCTCTCAGCAATGTGAGCACCTCCTGTCCCTGGGGAGCATGGCTGGAAACCCTGGGAGCCAGAGTCACAATTTGCTCAGCTCAGCCTGTCTGCAAGGAGACCCAGCTGATATCTTGGGGCAGCCTGGCACAATCCAGACTGGCTGTGCCACCTCCAGATGACCTTCTCCCAAGCTTCTCACAGGGGCTGGTCTTAATTCTGGTTGCTCCAAAACTGTATCAAATGTGGAGTGCCATTTTGCAAGCTTGGCTCTTGGTAGAAACTACCATGTGCCCGTTGGGAATGCCCCTACCTATCTGCAGTAAAGTTATGAGGACTGCTTTACATCTTTGCCCTCCCTTGATTGCTTTGGATGCTTCATTGCTGCAGAGGTTCCTGTCCCACATCCAGGCCTCCTCCCTCCTCCCCCGCCGCCGCCTCTTCCATCCATTCGGTGAGCGTCTCTTGCCTCTAACATATGGTCAGAGCATATTCTCAGCAATGCAGACACTTCTGCTTCTTCACTTCAGCAGCAGCAGTAACTGTTGAACGGGAAATCTGTCGTTTAACTCAGCCGTTTGCAGTCGTTGAAGAGAAGTAATTACAATAGCCTTAATTGGCTGACTGCAGAGCCGCTGCCCGAGTAGTAATAAATAGTGCATGCTTAGGAGCTGGATGAGGTGTAACCATCCAGGGTTCCTTCTCTTCTTCTTCCAGTGTTCCTGTTCACACAGGAGGCTAACAGGGGTGTTGGGCTGCTGCTTTAAAGAGCCAGCCC